GATGACCGGCCAGGTCTTAGTTTGCCAGAAGTGAAAAGAGCTGCTGATGGTAAGGTTGTTTAGTACTTCAATAATACCTGGACCTGGAATGGGTTGCCTGAGCCAGCCAGGAAAACCAGGGACTTGGCAGAATTTAAGCCATTGGTTAATATGCATGACTGAATGCATGACGCATAGGACGTAATCATCTTCTTTTTTGAAGTAACGTCTGTATTATCTAAGATAAGATAACTTAACTATCCATGAAAACATTTAGAAAATATAATGATAAAAAAAGAAAGTTTAATGTCTCATTTCTATATGGTAAGACTTTTTTTTTTCTCTTTGTCATATTAAGTATATTTAAGTAGATTTAGGTAGCTTAGGGTCTGGTAAATTTTTCTTAGAAATTCAATCAACAGCTAGTAAAGTAACTAATAGTTGATTTAGTGGTAAATCATGATGATTTTAAATGAAGGCACATTATAATTCCATATACTAGGACAAATTTGTACAAGTGCTCCTTCATCCTTAGTGCATTTAGAGCATAGAACAGGTTGCTCGAATCATAGAGAAAAATCACTGGCAGAGTTTTTCTACTTAACATGTATGACTAGTTTAACACATGGATATGTGTAGGATGTAAATTTCTTTTTGAAGGAACATCTGTAATATACAAGATATTAATAGGTGAGGAAATATGACAGAATCAAATCATTGCATTTGTTAAACAAACTAGTTTTTTTAGTTTTTTGTTTTACATGTTCCTTCAGATTTGAAGATATTTTATCATCCTAGTCCAAACCTACCATGGGGATGGCAGTGGTATGAACCTGGGACCATCTAGACCTTCCGAACAACAGTCCAGTGCATCTACTGCACAACCAAGGCAGACATCGTTTTTCATAGAACAGGCATAAAGCAGAGATATATCATCAACATGAAGTTCATAGCTATATAGTTACATAGATCTTAGTATTAGAACACTAAACCACCACCCCCGACCATGATGTCCCATGCCACTCTTCACAACAAATCATGTCAGCCATGTCTCCTGGTCAGGCCCATTATCTACCCCCCAACAGGTTGAAAAGGAGAGCTCCCCAACGTTTGTGCTTTGTTTTACTTGTACACATTGACTTTCTGATACTTTCTAGAATTATGAAGGCCTAAACATCTCCCATACATCCTTTTGAAAAATTCCAACTCTATACTTCATTTACCTTTTACCGTTACCTATCCACTAGTCTGTTGGACCGTTGGGGCATCAAGCAGGATTTGTCGACTGTCTTTCTCCATTCCTCTATGTCTTTTGTCTTGTTTAAAACCTCTATCAATGGTAGGCCCGTCAATTCTTTTATGTTGTCCTCCCATCGCTTTCTCTGTCTGCCTCTTCTTCTTTTTCCTGGTACTGTTCCCTGAAGGAAGGTCTTTGCAAGCCACGTAGATCTTGTAATATGGCCATATATTTTAAGCTTGCATTTCTTTACAATAGTTAGCATACTATACTTCCTATTCACTTAAAAAATCTAATTCTATTTGATAATTAGTTGTCTATGATTGGATGGGACTTCGACCTATTTAGTACTTTATACATGACATAGATTATACATTATTAGAAACACTTTTGATTCTCATATGTAAGTTATATTTTTTCAGTGAACACCAAGGGCAAGGACAAGCAGCTGAGTCCTTACAAGAAGTCAAGTTTCTCCAGCATCCCTCACATAAACAACAATGAACCTTTGACCTCAAGCAGTTCGCAAGTAAATATGTTTTGTTTTTTTCTAAACTCAGTATTTTTCCTTGACTAATTCAATAGAGATCCAATGTTTGTCAGACTAAAGTATCTGCATAATTTGTCTGAACACGTGCACAAATTAATGGCTGGTTGGTTTGTTTTATTATGTTGGACTGTTTATTTCGTAGATTCAAATGTCTTAGGAACCGGTAATACAAATAGCCTTATCTGTATTAAAATTATTTTAGATGGCCAGTAGGAAATCTTTAGTTTAGTGAAATGCATTTTATTTGATTCCGAAGATGAAGGATGATTACAGTATTTCATATGAATGACCAGAGAAACCCTATTTGCCACATCTGATGCAAGCAAAGCCATTTTCTTCCTGTTAATGCCCAGTGGTTAATTAGTAGCTTCAAACAGCTAGTTAACTGTACAGCTAAACCGATGTAGGCCTATTGTATTGTTATTGTACAACTTTAAATAAACCTGAACAAGTCTCTTGTTTATACAAAAACTCAATATAATTTTTATTAACGTAACACACAGATTCAACTTCACAAGTAGAGATATGTAGAGACACAAGGGAAATAATAATTTTGAAAACGAATAACTCACGAAAAAATATTTGCCTCTCCCTTCTACGACATTTACTCCATTATTTGTTTCCTGGAACTACTGTAGACCCCAAGTACTTTGCTCAGAGCCAACACAACCAAAAACATCCGCCCTACACACAAAAGCCTATTTAAGTTTTCTTTTTTTTGTTGTCTGTGCCTGTCTTGGGCAAGGGCTTTTCTTTTGGGTCTCATGACTGTTACAGAATACTCATTTAGTATAGTGTTATTAGATTCAAGTTCTTTTATGATATGGGCGTTGTGTTGAGAGACATGAGGTTGAACAATAAATAACTTGGCTATTTCTATGAGAGGATAACTAGTAGTCAGCTATGCTTTTCTTTCTTTCACCTTAACCTACCCCTTAGTCTGTTGGGGCACCACACACAATTTGTTGACCATCTTTCTCCATTCCTCTCTGTCTTTTGCCTTGGATAGAATCTCTTTCAATGGCAGGCTCCTACATTCTTTTATGTTGTCTTCCCATCGCTTTCTCTGTCTGCCTCTTCTTCTTTTTTTCCTGGCAATGTTCCCTAATTAAAGGTCAATGCATGCCCCAAAGACCTTGTAATATGGCCATAGAGTTTTAGCTTGCAATTTTTTACAATATTTTGCAGGTCATTGTGGGGTCCAATCGCTGTAGTAACCCTGTCTCTAATTTCTTCATTTGTGATGTGGTCTTTTAACTGTGATAATGGTACCTAGGATCCTTCTGTAGCATCTCAATTTCATTGCTAGGATCCTCTTTCTTTCTTTACCTATTTTTTTTAACCAAGGCTAAAGAAACTAAGAGAAAGATGAATAGAATATCATGAAAACTGTCGTTTTACAAATATTTTCCATAGAGAAGGTAGAGCTGGTGAAACAAATTTTTTCTCTTGATTTTCAGATGGAGGTCACCACAGGTCATGAGAGAGAGGGTCAGAGTTCAACTCTTCCTAATGTTTGATGCCTTCATATCCATTGGTCCGACATTAATTCATATTAATATCACTTAAGTCAAAACAACTCAGGCTGCAGCTCACAGTTCATTTTTAATTGTTTATTATTATTTGTTTGTTGCTGAGCAGATTCTGTTTTCCTGTGGATTTAACATGAAATCTGAACAAACAATGAACTTTTTTTTTTAACCAAAATAATTTAAGTCCATTTTTTTAAATAGGAGACATGAAAAAAAATTTGTATTCCATAATTTATTTATTCTCATGGAAAAGCACTCAGATTAGTAAAGTAAAGTAAAGTTCCCCTTTCTGACCTTGTGATATATAGGGCAGATGATATTAAGGTCATCCGTTTCTTTGGCCAATGGTTAACAAGCAGGCCAGCACAACGACCAGCGCTTTTTATTTTCCCCAACTAATGTCTGGTATCCATCAGAGTTAGGTTTAACTCAAGAGCGCCTTAAAAATCCCAAAATTCAAAATCCCAGTCTTCACCGAAATTCAAACCCAGGACCCTAGGTTCAGAAGCCAAGCGCTTAATCACTCAGCCACTGTGCCCTCAGATTTGATTGATGAACTAGAAACATGTTTTAATATCTCCATAGTTTAAATTCAGCATTTAAAATAATTCTCTGTTCAAGTAAATATCTCATACCAACTTAACCGACAATCATAACTTGAACATGGGAGGTAACTGTTTGTGAGAAGTGACTTGCCTACTTATGTTTCAAAAATACTCAAGAGTGATATTTTATATATATATAAAGTTTCTAAACATATTTTTCTATGCTAAGAATTTCAATGATTAAGTGAGACTGATGTCATTATTGGCCTTGTTATTATTTGCTAACTTTAGTGGTTTGCATCAACCTACTGGCCTTCTTCTGTGATTGATATTTTTTTTACCTACAGGCCTAATTATGTGATTCTATTATTATAGGATTGTATAATAAATATTATAGGGATAAATAAAATTAAGTTTAATTATTAAAATATAAATGTTTTGGCAGTTGAATGAACTTCTAATCACCCATTCTACATGTATTTGTATCTGCTGTGCATGATGGGGAGCATTTAATACATCATCATTATTGATCATTAACCTTCATTGTAATTAATCAAGAGTTTTTAATCATTTGATTTAGTCAAGAAATAAGCTGAAAAGTGAGTGAAATGTTATGACTAATACAAGATTTTGTGTATAATATTTTGTATCTTAGAAGTCAGCAATTACTTTCAGTTGGTAATATGACTTGTAATTATCCTAATTAGCTCCCTTTTCAAATGCCTGCTATAAAATCCCAATTCTGCTCCCTTCCAATGCATAGAAAGTATTGCATTATTTAGGGTTTTTTTACAACAGCATTTGGGGAATGTTAAGGGAATGTGAGAGATGTGAAATTTAGAAAAGTTGCCATAGCGAATATCTGAAATAATAAGCCAGTTTTAAAATATATATTTTACTGCACTAAAAGGAAATATTTCTTAACCAGCTGAAGTAGTTTTAATTTTAATATTGTGATCAAGATTTTTTTTTGGTTTATTGCAAACATAATTATTTTCTTGTGCATATTTGGACGGTTTCATCTGTGTTTATCTCTAAGCTTTTTTATGATGTATATAGTTCAGTGATCACTCTTTCCTTTCTCTTTATGGTTTTCACTGACATGTACATGTTACCACTTGTATAAACTTCCAAGTTCTCATTATAAGTGCTAGCTTTTTTTTTTTTTTTTTTTTTTTTTTTTTTAAATGTCTAGTGAATAGAATAAGATGTCTGTCAATGTTGGTTATTGTTTCTAAGTCTGATAAAGGTTTTCTAATGTAAGCTAACAGAAGTAGAAGTTAATCTAACCCTAACCCTAAGTCCCAAAAAGCCTTGGGCGTATAGGAGCAAATAGGGGGACCTGACCATGCCAGCTAAGCCCTCAATCAAGTGTAATTTAATGATGATGATCATAAATAGAATGTCTGCTGAGTTTTTCTGTGGTATTAGCTTACATATAAGCTTGTGCAATTAGATATTTATTTCTTAAATCAACATTTTTCATAACTATAGAGCAGAAAAAAATATTTTATTCAACCAGCAAAAGGCACAATATAAATCTCTTAAAATATAGAATTAGAATCTAGACAGGGTTGGGACTTGAAAGATCCTTAATGAAGGAATGTCAGTTGAATGATATGATAATCATGAGATTCACTCTAAGTTCCTATTTTCTGTTGCACTTCTCACCAGTTATATATGTTTGCTGTTCTGAATGACCCATCTTTGAAAGTATTTCAAAAGGCATGTTTCCAATAACTCAACTTTAAAAGTATTACCTTGCAATACTACATTTATCTTGATGCTGTTTGATTAGTCAGCACTGCGTACACTACAAAAGCGTTTTAATGTTGTCCTCATGACATTGTCACTATTTAAACCAGGACGTTGTTTGTTTGATAATAAAGTAAATACTCAGGTAAAAACAGAACTAGCATTGAACAGAACTGAATATTTATATACGATTTATAACTCTTATTGTGAGATACTGCGTCTAGTGATCACTAATTTCAAGAAATGTAAATGACATTTTGTTGTTTACGGTAAAACTTAAATACAAGTAGTTTTATAATTGAAGTTGACTCATTTTTATTAAGTGCTTGGTTTGAAATTATTTTTTTGTTTTAATACTGTTCATTTTTTTCATTGCCAAGAGTAGGCAAAGTGACTACAAATTACCTTGTGATAATACGGATAAGGGAGTTAAATATGCTAAAATGTCCTAAGATGTTGTTAGATCTAGATCTAATTGTCATCAGTTAGCTATTATGTTGACCAGGTAATGTTAAATTATGATATAAAGCTGCCATGATTTGTTTAAATTGGAATGAATATTGAATAAATATGAAAGTTAGTTAGGTCTTATTTCTAAAATAATCTAACAGTAATCCATCATTGTGTCATAATGGTAACGATAATACAATAATTTTCATATTTGCCATATTGTTTCACATATCAAATTTTTTTTTTAGAGAACTTCTAATATAGATATATTGTATTTCAATTCTGATTTGGAACTAATAGCCAACATAGAATATTATGCTTACCAGATTAAGTTAAATTATGATTTAAAGTTACCAAGTTTTTTTTTTATATTACAATGAATACTTTTAAAAATATATAACACTTAACTTTCATATAATCATCGTTCTCATAAAGATTGTCATATTGTTTCACATATCACTGGGTTTGTTTTTTTATATTTGTGTGTGCAATATAATAATAAAACTAAACATACAATTTTTTTTTTATTCATCTACCTTCTTAATGAATGCATTCAAACCAACCTGTTCACTCAATTACTTCACGATTTTTTTAATGTCTTTTTGCTGCTTGCAGTGAAATCAAATCAACAGTATTAATTGTTCACATTTTGCAGTATTCATATATGCTTTATTTTTTCCCCTAAATTTTGTGGTTTGATTATGACTTTTTTTTTTTTTTAAGCTGTGTTAATCAAAATGTTAAAAACTTTAGTACATCTATGCAGAAACTAATAAAGAATTGACTTCTTTGCTTATTATTGTAGATGGAAAATGATTTTAGCATCCGGATTTGGATTATAGTAATTTCCTTGCCAGTTCCATTTGGCTTTTAAACATTTCTATGTTTTGGTATTTAAATGCATTTTTCTGTTTAACATTTGCTTTTTGTAATTATTGTTTTATGAAGGTTCACAATAAAATTGTGTTAAGTATGTTTTACTAAGCCAAAAAAACAACAACAAACAAACTGATTTTGGTTTAAGTTTTTTTTTTTATTTACAGGTAACTACTACCATATTTTAATTAAAATGATAATCAAATGCATGTTAAAATAAAAGATGTCTGCTCTTATAAGTAGTTAAGTTGACCCTCATGTCTTTTATTTGTCTAGCAAATTTAGCTACAATATACTGCTTCATTGGCATGTATTGAATAAGGATAATATGTGAATAAGGATATTGTGTGGCCAGCACACATATTGACAACCTTAGATTTCTTCAATAAGATTCAGCTTACCAGGGCATAGAGCCTGGTGGATTTAAGGACATTTTGTAAACCAAACTCTTAAAGTTTAGCCTTCACCAGTATTTGAATTTGTATGATGTATGATCTGGATAATGAGAACTTAACTACATGGCTACCATGGCTTTCCCCCCCCCCCCCCTCCCCAGAGATACAATCAATGAATTATTCTTAAAGATCAATTCAAATAAAAACAAGCAAAAGAGATTTCCTTAAAAAAAAAAAAAAAAAAGCAAAGCTTATCTATGAGGGAGAATGCCACACTTACAACTATTTATCTCAGTAATGTAGAAGTTATTTCCTTTTTAAAATATCCAACAATTTAATTAATTAATTATTAATTAATAAAAATTTATTTTTTTAAAATTTCTTCATGCTTTGTTAGGTACAATAAATGGATCTGTAAAGTTTCATCTTGGTCCTAGAAGGGGTGTGGGAGAAATAACGTGTACAATTATCTAACAGTATTTTTAAAGTTCAACAACTGGGCTTGCATCATTCTTAGAATTCAACATCTACATACACAGACTAGTTGGCTTGACTAGAAGACGGTGGAATACTTTTGAATTAGTTGCTTGTGGCGGTCTCGTTGCAGTGGATTGATCTAGGGCTAGTTGTCAATGAAGTTTTAAACCCAAATGCATTTGTATGGCAATCCATAACGCCACCTGTTGGGTGTGTCTGTCTCTGCGTATACATAGTAAAAGAATTCATTATCAAGTGGTTAACATTGACCGTACCAGTAATTCCACCTATAGCTGTAACTTTATGCTAGCAGATAGAAACACTAACATTTGACACAATTAGGATAATTTTTTTATATTTATTTTAAAGTATAGTCTTATTTAAATATTCTTTCCGTTCTAGAAGGAATACAAATGGAATCTAAATTGACGTTAGTCCTTGTGTATCTCATTCGTGATCTGATTTCGCCTATACTTTTCCTATACTTCGCCTATACTTTTCCTATACTTCGCCTATACTTTTCCTATACTTCGCCTATACTTTTCCTATACTTCGCCTATACTTTTCCTATACTTCGCCTATACTTTGGTCTCCACGCTCGATAACAAGATCTACATGTACACGATTTTTCTTCTTCCCAAATGTTTCGTAATGATATGACAAAATGTGTAGGTTACGCTTGACCTGCTGCAGAAGTATAGAATAGGTGTCGTTGAATGAACATTATTAAAAAAAAGATTTCACCGGATGACTGGGTCTGTATAATCCACTTTCTTTTTCTTCCATTCACCGGATGTGGTTATTTTTAACTTCTGCTGTTTGTAAAAAAAAAAAAAAATTATTAAAAGATTTCATTTTCTTATGTGTACAGCTTCGTTATATTAGGCACTTTGAACTTTCGTTTCCTTCCATACATTATTAACTTGTAGTTGACAGCATCCTAGCTGATCTAATTCAAATTCAAGCAGAAGTCACCACGAACTGTGTGCTGCAGAAAATATGCAAAAATGTCCATCTTGTTGTATGCGGACTCTCTACAAACTTTATCAGAACTATCGCAACGCCATCTATCTTGACCCTAACCATTGATCGTGCTAAGCCGCAACCATAGACTTATATATGCCGCAACATTTACTTAGGTTACATAGCGGGAAGCAAGTGAAAATTATCTGATAAACACAGAATTCGAGCAAAACAACACATTTTCCTTAGGACTAATCAACAAATCTTCCTAGGGACAAATTAACAAGCCTCAAACCACGGATTCTTTCTCTACACATTCTCTCAGAAGTAGCAAAAAAGACCGGACTTCCAATTAACAAAAAGAAAACAACATATCATAACTCGAATCAGAATCAAATGACAGACAATAGAACCCAATTATGCTTCAAGGGGAGAACATCCTTGATACAGGCCACTTCACTTATCTGGGAAGTAGAATTAGTAAAGACGGTGGAGCTGATGATGAAATCGGATCAATAAAACGAGGTTTGCCGTTTCCATTCTTCAAGCAATCTGGAGATCCAATTAAGGCACTGTCTCTACTCAACAAGATACGATTCTGTAACACAAACGTTAAGTCGGTCCTTCTTTACGGTTCAGAGACATGGAGAGTCACTAAAGTAAATATGGAAAAACTCCAGTCTTTTGTTAACTGACTCCTATGCCGGATAGTGGGGATTAGGTGTCAGGAAAAGATAACTACTATCAATTATTGGGAGAGAACTAAACAAAAGCCCATATCCAAAGATATTAAAAAATCAAACGTGGAGCTGGATAGGACACACACTGCGAAAACCAGCTACCAATGCTGCAAGGCAGGCACTTGATTGGAATCCGCCTTCCTCCCCCGCAAAGAACAATCTACAATTTTCCAACTATGAACAGGACACACACCTCTATTTAAATTATCATCTGAACAAAATAAACTCCACACAACTCCCCCTTTGTAGACACTGCGCCCACCCATATGAAACCTTAAACCATATCCTCTTTGAATGCCCCTCCCTAATCCACCTTAGGCAGACCCTACTTCCACTACAGCCCAACATTACCAACACCCTGTACGGCAGAGCTGAACAACTGAAGAAAACAGCACTTTTTTTTCCTAAGCACAGTCTGAAAAAGAGCTCACAGCTCAGCTGCAATAAAGCTGTCTAGAAGAAGAAGAAGATTGGAATCAGCAAGGAAAAGGGAAAGTGATAAGGCACAAGCAAACCTGGTCATCAATTAAGCTGAGGATATTGGAATGACATGGTAGCAGATGAAGAAAGCTGCTCAGGACCGAGTTCACTCCTAACTGACGATACCAACGTTGATTTGACTCCATTAAATTACATTAATTTTTGCTTTTATAAACTTTAATTTGTGTTAAATTTTTAAAAAAGTATGCATTCTTCTATAATTATATACCTTATATAACCTTTCTTGATAACATACAAAAAGGTTATTGAAGTTCTATCATAACAGGATAGGAAACAAATGAGCAAAATGAATTCCATCGATAGGCTACGTGGAAAATAATTCCGGAGAGAAAGAGTTAAAGCCCTATGCTCCCCTGGGAGCTCACAGGATTAACACCAACAGAGTCTATACTATGAATTTGTTTTTGAAAAAAAAAACACTATGGAATATAAAAAAAATACTTCAAACAAAGTATAAAACTTCAAACAAAGCATAAAGCTTCAAACAAAGCATAAAGCTTCAAACAAAGCATAAAGCTTCAAACAAAACATAAAACTTCAAACAAAGCATAAAGCTTCAAACAAAGCATAAAGCTTCAAACAAAGCATAAAACTTCAGACAAAGCATAAAGCTTCAAACAAATCATAAAGCTTCAGACATAGCATAACACGTAGGCCTAGTCCTTTTAGCGACCGTGTCCTCTGTCCGACTGGCATAGCCCCAACGTGTGAAAATGTCTGCCTTTCATCTAGGCACCTAGTGCCATTGAGTATTATCCGTCAGTCGAAATGTAACCCTAATATCTTTCTGGTTTAAACAGGTAGCAGAAAATTTACATGTTCTTGGATATTTTCCACCAACTGGTGTTCGTAGGCTTTATTCTAAAATGTTCAAAAGAAACATGATATTTACAGTTGACCAAGATTTTTTTTTTCTTTCCCATTCCAATGTTGTGGTGTATTAATTATTTTTTTTTTTTTGCAATAGAAGATTACATTGCCAAAAACATATACGACAAAACCGTATGATAATGTGAGCTTGCTCTCCCTGAGCTAGTTTTATATGTATTTTTGTTGTATAGGTTAGATCTATTTTTATCGTCAATCGACCCCCAAGGTGGTCGCGACCCACAGGTTGAGAACCCCTGGTCTATAGTGTTATGTTTCAAGAGAGGATTTGAGCCTCTCAAGCCCTCACTCAGATGGAGTTTGATGATGATGGTGTTATGTTTAGGCTACATTTCGCTATTCTTCATAAATTCCCAGTCTTGTTTTTTACTAGTCACGCCATTAACAGTGGTGGGCATACCTACGGCTCAATCATATGGGCTCAATGTATTGACGATATCTGGAGTCACTTTAGATGTTCCAGACAACAAACATGTTCTATTTGCCAATCGACTAGTTAAAAAGGATTCACACATTTCACGAGGTTAAATTCACTGACTGATGCACAGGAAGACTGGCTTAGGAATTATGATAAAAAATGTGTAAACTTGAAGAAATGTGAATGTTTAAGGTTTAAAAATTTCAAGGGTTTTGACTAAATCCAATTTACCAAATTTAATATCGCATGCTCAGAGAATGTGTGTACTGTTTATCATATATATGACAGCAACTTATGAAATTGGATAATTTCAGTAATGAAACCTTTATAAGACTGTCAATAAATAGCTCGAAATATGAACATTTTAATTCACTAATAATAACTGGGAGGCGCGGTGGCTGAGCGGTAAAGCACTTAGCTTCCGAACGGGGGTCCCGGGTTCGAATCCTATTGAAGACTGGGATTTTTAATTTTGGGATATCTGGACGCCTCTGAGTCCACCCAGCTCTAATGGGTACCTGACACTAGTTAGGGAAAAAGTAAAAGCGGTTGGTCGTTGTACTGGCCACATGACACCCTCTGTTAACAGAAACAGATGACCTTTACATCATCTGCCCTATAGATCGCAAGGTCTGAAAGGGGAGCTTTTTACTATTATTAATAACTACGTCGTAATTTGAACCAAATCTTTTAAACCTCTGTGTTTAATTTGTAAAAAAATATTTTCTTTTAAGTTTTTGACCCGGTCCAAAGTTTGCCCATCACTGATAAACGTTGTAACGCCGTTGTTTTGT